CCCAGTACATAACTGGCCGGGCCAAGTCGGTCGTCACGCCGTTTCACTCTTTATCCGGCCCGGCCATCTCTTCTGCCGGCGTCTTGCGCCACCACACGCCCTTATAGCCCGAGACTGGTAAGGGTACCTAACAAAAGGCGGTTTTGTTTATTCGGCCTCGGTCGGCACCGGCACCGGGACCGGGACCGGGACCCGCTCGAAGGGGGCTGGTACCAACGCCAGACTGGGCAAGTCAGCAGCTGTCAGCCCGACTGGCGCCCCGCCATTTGCCCGGCCAGCAATTGGGTATTTCGTGTCTTCTCCGGGAGGAGGAGACGGCAACCATGGCGCCCGGCAATCCGGTCCGACACCTGTCAACCCTACGGGCCTACACGTCATGACCTTCGCGTCTAGTTCACCCGAACTTACTCCGTGCAACTTTTGGTAGAGTCCGCAAGCATTGCAGACCGGCTGTCCGTCGCCGTTTCGACGCCACAGGGTCGTCTGGTTGGTGTCGCAGTTGGTGCAGATTAGACCGGCTCGACGAGACGTATGCTGAAGTGGAGAGAAGAGAAGAAGTCTACCGGTTATGTAAGCAGAGAAGTTGTGTAGTTGAGGGGAAAATGAGAAAAAAGGAGATAGATTAAGACCGCCTTGGCAACTCGATTGCCTGCTTAGCTGGAAGTTCCCTTTGGAGGCATTCGAAATCATACTAAATCATACCATTAATAAACAAGTAAAAATAATTCATATTAAATCCCAAATGACGCAAAGATCTCGCTTTATCAGGGTTATATCACATAAAGTGATGTAGAACGACTAATAATTGAATAAGCCTCATTAAATTACATTCGTCCTGGCCGGACTGGATCGGATTGCAGGCCCGAGGAATCGAGCCTGAGAAGAGCAAATGTTGCTTTTTAATGGTTCGTCTCAAAGTGTATGATTCATTGTAGATATGCTGATCAAAATGTTATGGCCTCTGCTTTACTTGCAGTTGCCATATACAAGTGATCCGACCTCGAATTTGCCACTTTGTAATGTTGTCAGAGAAATCCAGTTAAACTCACCTTGTCCAAAGTCCTTTGCCATAGTAATTTTGACGATGCATGGCATAGTCCTGTGGACTTGGTACATTCACAGACTTTTTACTGGAATCGTCGGTGAGTCTTGTCAGTCTCAGCATCAAACTAGTACACTTCAGCGACAAGTGGAGTCAATCCCTTGATTCACTTTCTGTAGAACGGTTGTGCCATCCTTCGTTATACGCATTTTCAACTTGTCTCAATGGCAAATTGCAGCGTGATGCTAATATTCGCTAGACTCATTGATAATGCCGACTATGACGTTAATGAAACGTCTAGGAATGTACCAAGTCCATGGTCAGACCGAGGGAAGTATGGTAATTGTTACGGCAGAGAACTTGGGACAAAGTGAGTCCAACTAGTTCGTCATGAGAACAAGATCAAGTTTCGAAAACTAGATCATACCCCTTCCAGCAGAGATTATCGGGTTGATCTTACTGAAAGGCGACGCCTGATTCCCTTATTGCTGCAGTACTTTGGCTCTAATATAATTTTTGGGTCAACACAATCCATGAGGCATCATCCCTCGTTTATGATTAAACCGGGCCGAAATCTTGTCCATCATATGAAAGACATTATCAGAGCTGCAACCGCACACGCAATTATAGATACATTGATTAATATGAAAAAGGACTAAATCGCTAAATCATGAATACTCCATTTATTTATATATATTTTTTCTTTTAGGCATGTGTAAATTTAGCTTGTATGATAGAAATTGAGTCCCCCTGATTTGAGATTTTTGCAGGAATAGGTTCCAGCTCTGATGATGTCTTTCGCATGACGGACGAAAGCTGAGCCCGTTTCACCTAAAACACATTGAGGATATTTTCGTGGACTGCGTCAATCTGAGCATCGTCTTAAAGACAAACGACTTCAGAACAGGAATTGGCTGTCGTCCTCAGATGAGGTTAATCAACAAATCTTTTTATGATGCCCTTTCATATAAAATAAAAGTCTCCTGTCGAAGCTACAATTAATTTCATTTTGAACGTAGGATGAGAAAATGTATTCCTTAATCTCACGGCAGATTCACGTTTTGCCTAAGCCTTTTGACGTTAATACTGCATTCAAGTTGACAGCGTCCACGAGACATCCTCATTCGGTTCGGGTGGAAACAGACCAAGTTTATATTAGATGTATTCACCATATTTCTTTTATGGTGATGAAGGACTGTTAGTTGAACTATCACACAATGATATGAATAGAGCTGACCTTTCCATTGAATTTCGCATAGTTTTGCTTTCCAAAAAGTTGTTCTCATCCAAGATGAACTGAAGTTTCGACCTCGAATAGGTCTTATCAACATCCTTAGCGGAAGTCGAACCGTGACAGTGCAGAATGTGAACTTGATACGTTAACCACTCGGCCACATTGCCACGAGTGCCCTTGGGTCACAGAACAGGTGTGAATTTCAAGGGAGGTAAGGCATTATCCCATATCAACACTGCTTATATAACCAGTAAATCATGCTTTAGAATTTCAATCACTTTAGGTTACCTAAAGTGATAAAGGATTGGTAGGTTAGTTTCTCAGCTATCAGATGAGTAGGCCTTACGTTTCTATTAAATTTCAACCAAGTTTTCTTTCCCGGATGAGTATACCTTTTTGTGAAATCAA